GGGGGGGGGGTAAAGTGGGCTGCTGGCTGACTGCAGTTTGGGTGGTGAATGCAACAAGTGGAGTCAACGCAAATGGACAAACTCCCTCAGCTGCACATGGCATGCACGCCGCACCAACGCTACTTCCTAACCACGTGAAGGCAAACAGAAGCCACCTTGAGGCGGTGTGTGTGTGTGTGTGAGAGCGAGCGCGAGCGAGAGCGCGAGAGCTTAGCTTGCACACTGCCCACTCTGAATGCAGCATGTGTTTCAACTTAACATTCCACTTTGCTCTTGCTCTGCTGCTGTTTATGAACCGCTTTCCAACACTGCGATCTCTGCCTGCCAACTGCTGGATTGCCAGCCACCTACGAATACCCAACACACACACACACACACACACACACACACACACACACACACACACACCAGTGCCAAACTGCAGTAGACCACTGAAGGCAAGGAGAGTGAGTAAAAAGGCAACAAATGAAGGGCTGTTATTAAGAAGAGATGATTTGCAGATGAGGAGGCAGAAAAAGAAAGAGGAAACCAAAACAAAAAGTGGAAAATGTTACCTCGCTGACGAAGGTAAAGCTCCATGAGTGCGAGGAAGACAAATGAAACGTTATGATGGGGGTGATCTTCTCTATGATCCCACCCAGCAAGACGGAGGGTTTAGGTGGACCAGAGGAGGCCGAGGACTCTCAGAGCTGCACTGGAGGGCTCCTGAGGCCGGCAGTCTGAAGCTGAGAGGACTAAAAGCCCTCACAAGGCAGCACATGGAGGATGGAGGCAGGACTTTTTTCCTCCTCTTCAGGAGGAGGAGGGCACAGGGGGAAGGAGCTTCGCACAGGGGCAACCAGTCAAATCACTTCCTGAAGGGATCGGGGAGGCAAATTCCTTGAAAACTGTTACTTTTCAAATACAGCATCTTCCGTGTTGATCTCATGCTGCACCAGTGCGTCTAAATAAGAAATTCATCAAAGTTTGATCAAATATCTTGCCTTTCTTCCCCTCTCTCTGTCTCTCTCTCTGTCTCTCTCTCTCTGTCGGTGTGTGTGTGTGTCTCTCTCTCTCTCTCTCTCTCTCTCTCTCTCTCTCTCTCTCTCTCTTCCCCCCCCCCCCTCTCTCTCTGTCAAATTCAAATTCAATTTCAATTTGCTTTATTGGCATGAACGTTTAGAAACGGTATTGCCAAAGCATCAACTAATTAAACATACAATAATATCAATTCACAGTAACATTAATACACAAAAACATTAATATAACATCTAGATTGATTATTAATTATATATATATATATAATCTCCTTCTCCATCTCCTTCTCCTATACGTCCCATCTCCTCCTATACTTCCCATCTCCTTCTCCTATACTTCCCATCTCCCTCCTATCTCCTATACTTCCTATCTCCTTCCTCTATACTTCCTCTATACTTCCTATCTCCTATACTTCCTATCTCCTTCTCCTATACTTCCTATCTCCTTCTCCTATACTTCCTATCTCCTATA